GGTGATTGAAATTCTTGTCATGCAATTATAATACAAATGTATGACATTGATATTTCAGACATCGAAATTTCTAACTAATTGAAACTGATGTCACACCATAACCAAAGTGAGCCGAAATAGAACGTTTTCGAAAAAGATTGTCGATGAGCAAAATGTTGGCTCGTTCTTGCTATATTACTGCATTATTTCTAATATTACCTTTAAACTGTGACGAAGGTAATATGACGAATATGTTCGACATAAGAGACGAACAAAATACGGTGGAAAAATATGTGGCAGCTGTACTGTTTTCTCTACTGTTGTTGTACGGTATTGTTGGCAACATATTGTTGGTGATCGTATTCTGTAGTCGGGAAAATCTTTACAATCGCGCATTCATCCTTATCACATTACAACTTATTATTTGTAACTTCTTGAACTTTGCTCAGCAAGGGAACATTGTTTTTCTTCAATTACTAAACAATGCAAGTTCTGATGGTTGGTTCCTTTCTAATTTTAAATATCACTCGCTTCTTATCATTAATTGAGATGTATCGCATATCCTACTAATGAATAAAGTTGAATTGAATTTATTTCACGGATTAGCGATGGACTATTACTTCTTATTGCAAAAATTTTAACTTTATTTACTAATTTATTGAAATTTCAGCGTATAAGTCAGCGTGGATTAACAGAATGTTCCCTACTATGAATGCGTTTTCGTTTTACGCTACGCTACATTTCACATTTTTATTGGCGGTGAATCGCCTAGTGGCCGTAAGCTTACCGAAATTCAATTTTTTCTTCGAATCAACAAAGTTCCATTTTCTTCTCGCCTCCATTTGGCTATTAAGTTTCGGTATGATCCGTTAATGTTTTCGCAATTCATCAAAACATCATTGAACCGGAAAGGGCCTGCAAGAGTCTTTCTCCTTATTCAACGTCGCAGGAATGAAAATTGCAACATCGCATCTATCTACAAGTTTCTTGATGAATCTCGCAATTATGAATACGCTTTCGTTTTTCGGCTCAGATTAATTGCTAGAAATTATTATTCGATGGCCGACAAACAAATAGTAGATAGTTTGATAGAAATTATCAAAAGTTGATCATTTCGTTCTTCTGTTTATAACCTCATTGATATCAATGATAAACCAATGCTCAGCCCTGCACAACATGTGGATGTACCACAATGAGCATATCACACTATTATCACTGTTTGTAATAAACAGCGCTTTAAGTTTTTCAAATGATTTTTTAGTGATATCACTCATAGAATTCCGTTATTGCATTAGAAATTTTAATATATCGAATTTTCAATGGTCCATGAACTGTACAAAAAAAACGTCAGAAAATGGAGCTGTCTTTATGAGGTTCATTATTTTTCAATTAAAATATTTATTTTCCGAATACAATCTTAAGTCTATCTTATGTAATGTTGCAATTAAAATTCAGTTTTGCTAATCCTATATGCACTTTTCAGTTTTCTTTTTGTTGGAGTGCTTAATATCCAATACTGAACATCTTTACTTGCTATTATTCGACCATTTCTTTGCAGAATTCGCAATGTGTGTGTAATGGTATTACCAATAATGATCTTCGCAGTGTATGTTCCAATATTCTGCACTATGCGTCATAGACGGAAGACTATCTTGGAGTTGTTCAAAAATAAGGGTGACATTGAGTTTTGTTGTTTCTCAATCAAAGAAAAAAACAAACTGCACTCATCCATGATAAATATTCTTTTGATGTCTTCCTCCAACGTATTCGGAAACCTTTGAGATTTCGAAATAATCTCAATTTTCTTTATTTTCATCTTTCATCTAATTCTTAAAAAAAAAGCAATTAAATTTAGTCGCTATAAGAATCCTTGCAGGATGTGAAGCGAGCAGTACGGTAGAAGTGGGCAAATATGAGCGGTTAATGTTAATTCAGGCGGTATTCGTTTCTGGTGTAATAGAAATTCAAGTTTTCTGCTTCAATTTCTTGTCGAATCTTGCTGTCAAACTCGCAAGCAAAAAAGGTGAAATTCCCATTCACATTTTCGTCAACTGCTCCATGATCTTCAGTAATGCTGTGCTACCTACTGTCAATTTAATTTTCGTCAAACGATTTCGTAACAACGTCAAACAAGCAATGCTAGAATTGTTATCAAAAATTATGAACAGAAAGAGAATGTTTACTGTAGTACATATTGTACCCAAGACGAAAATTCATCCAATTGCTCATGTAAGCTAATACAACTATGTCCTATTTCTATACAATGTAACGAGTTTGCATTTCCCAAGTTATTCAATCTCAAAATTGTTGCGCTTTCTGCTATCTTTTGTTGTTGTTTTAGTATCTCGAAATACCTTTACTTTTCAATTTCATCATGAATTAATTTCATGGTGCGGAAATTTCTGACGGGTAGTGGTCCTTTTATTTCTGATATTTATAAATTACTATTAATATGATCATATATGATAGAGAAAAAAGTCGATTTTTTTCTGGAAATCTTATCCATCTAAAATTTCCAATAAAGTTAAATTATTTGAGATTAAGATTAGAATAACATACACTGTTAAACTGCTTCTGGCATCTTTGATGGACACAAGAACTCAATTTTGAATCTACTTTGTGATTTTCTTAAAAGCAGTTCATATAGTAAGTCAAACTTGTATTTTTCATCAATTCTTTATACATTCGTTATAATAATTGGACTCTGGAACATTGACATTTAAGACATTGAATGTTCTAACTAATCGAAAATCATACCACCCCATAACTAAAATGAGCCGAAATAGAACATTTCCGGAAGAGGTTGTCGATGAGCAAAACGGTGGTCCCTTCTTGCTATATTATTCCATCACTTCTGCCGTTGATTTCTGCCTCTTTAATTGATAGTACCTCAAACCCAAAGTTGGGTAACCAAACCTTTATTACGATATATTTATTAATACAACAACGAACTTGCAATTACAACATCAGTACAACAAATTACCGAAAACGCTAAGAACGACAAGACTATATCATCCCTAATATCCTCTAATCAACCGACCGATTGAAACGCGTCTTTTGAAATGATTCAGCGCTCAGGACCTTCCGTTTCTCTGAATGGTAGGGTCTTTGTACCGTTTTATGATTACAAGAATTAGCTTCCTTATTGAGCGCCCATTGGTATGAGGTTAAGACGACATGAGAATGTACAACAAAGATGTCTGGCTTCGAAAAAGGGGATTATTGTTCCTTTGTTCCTACTCGCGATATCAGCGACAACTTATAATATTACCTTTAAACTATCATGAAGGAAATACAACGGATGTGTTTGACATAAGAAACGAACAAAATACGGTAGAGAAACACGTAGCAGTTGTTGTTGGAAAAACACGTGGCAGTTGTTATCGTGAATTTCAATTTCGCGAAAGACCAAAGTATAAAAAATAATCTGTCCATGCAATCATCAATAAGTCTTAGATCTTTGTTTTAAATCACCTCTGTTGAAATGAAGCAAAACCACTCCCACTTTTTCCGTATATAACCTGTATTGAGTGTTACCGAGAGAGCTTTGATGACCAGTTTTTTATTACGCTCGATCAGTTTGGTTGATTCTCATTTTTGTCATCATCATCAGCAGTATCGTATCGTTTTTGTGACCTTACTCTTTACAAGTAAAGAATCAACTCTCGCCTTTTGTCCACAACGTTACGACATACACACACATATCATCCACATCAAACTTGGTGCCGCTAATACTCGAAGCAACCTCAATTCTTCTCCTCTACAACCAACGTGTAGAAATTCCCCTGCTGGTTGTAACTATTGACTGACTGCAAAATACTTCAAAAATCCACGACACAAAAGAATTTGGTGCCACGAGCCAGGAACTATGTCCAGCAACATTATTGTGAGCATCCAGCCGGCAAAAGAGAGGTTAGTCAATCTTCTTCCGGAAATAAATTCAATAGAATTTAAGTCTCCGGAACCAGATGCAACGATAGAGCAACAGGAAATCCTCTATACGATGAGAAATAGAACATTCGAAGACAAACTCCGAAGAATTCAATTGTGTATCAAGACGCTCCAGTCCATAAGCGATGACTGGCTCAATTATACACGAACAATCACCTCAACGAAAAAGAAGGAGAAAGAAGAAAAAGCGTTCAAAGTAATCACAATGGGTGAAACAGGAATATACCAAATATTGCAGCAAGGTAATGGAGCGATTATAACACTAATCATGCATAAAGAGGATGTTGAACAAAAGTTAATACAACTTTCAAAGGGAAAAAGAAAAGATGTTGAAGTCTCAAATCCCCCTTCGACTCCCAATGTCCATCTTTCTCAGTTGTCCCTAGCTACATTCAATGGTGACCCCAGACAATGGCGACAGTTTTGGAGCAGTTTTAATGCAGCAATTCATTCCCAACCAATTCCCGAGATACAAAAGTTGAACTATTTATACTCGTGTCTCAACGGAAACGCGCTAGAGGTAGTATTAGGATATGATATTGCACCTGAGAATTATGAAATTGTAAGATGACTGCTTAGGGAAAAGTATGGCGACCCCTCTGCAGCAACGACCATCCTATATAAAGAACTCAGATCCATAAAAAGGGATGAAAAAGAATGGGTAAAAATGGTCGAACACATCGAGGTGATACGCCAATTAGAAGCACTAAGAGAGAACATGGAATATTCAAGTATTGAACACTGGATAGAAGACAAGCTGCCAGAGTGGATCTTGGATAAGGTGTTTGAACAAAAGGAATTGGATGCAGCATGGTCAGTCTCTAAACTACGAAATTTCCTGTTAAAGAGGGTGAAAAGGTGTGAAAAGTGAAAAGGTGAAAAATTGCCAAAAGATAAACACCCAAGCTGACAGTAAACTCACAACTACCAAGTTTGTGCAGAAACAACGGTACAGTCCTGTTGGAACTTCAGCATTATCAACGATACAAAGTCCTCAAAAGGTATCACAACCTACAATTAAGAGAAGGAGACCGTGTGTATTTTGCACTCGAGACCATTGGGATAGCGAATGTGATATCTATTCTACAGTAAAAGCTCGAACCAATCGCCTCAAGATATTGAAGAAATGTTTAACTTGTCTTAAGGATAGTCATACTCCTGTAGGAGAAGGATGCAAAGTGAAGAAACGGTGTTTGTATTGCAAAGGTTCTCATAATAGCGCCTTATGTGATAAGAAATGGTACCCTCTCCAACCAATACTGC